AGCTCTGACCATGCCTTGTGAAGATCTAGGCATGGAGCTGTTCTCAGTAGCCAACAGGTGTCACCGCTCAGTGTCAGGGGGAGGGGTTCCCAAATTTGCCAGCTTTAACCACTTGATAGATGAAAGTTAGGCAGCTAGAACAGGCTTTCGCCTCTCTTCTGGCTGAACCGGTTCCGCACCTGTTATTTCTGTCCTGGGGACCAGACGCATTTTCAGCCCTCCTACCGCAGCAGGTGGCGTGAATGCTGCGCGCTCCGTCAGACGCTATTTCTGATGGTGACCTTCTTGGTGTCTGTAGCTGGCCGCCACCTCCTCCTCCTCCACGTCTCCTTCCTCCTCCTCCCCCAGATGGCCTTCAAAGATCTGCCTGTCACAAGCCAAATCTGTGATTCTGAACACTCTTCTCCCACCCTTCTGCATAGTAGGACCCAGCCCTGACGCAGAAATGCACACAGCCTTTTATTTATGCCGAGCTCACCTGTTCTGGGTGCATGAGTGAAACGCATGAGAGCCGCAGACCCTGGAAAAGACATCCTCTATGGTTGGAAGGAGAATTATCTGATGTGTTAGAAAGCTTTTTGCCAACTTCCATGGGACTGTGCCACATGTTGTTAGCTCATTCCTCTCCAGTAGCTTTGTAGGCAGATGGAACTTCTCCTCCCCACCTCGTGGAGGAACAAACTGAGGCCAGGAGATGCTTAATGACATTTCGGCCCAGCACTCAATCGGGCTCTGAGCTGTCAGAACTGGTCTTCTGGACACAGACAGGGTCATTGCTCCAAAACAAGGCTGAACGAGGCAGGTCATCCTATGGCTGCTGACTCACATTTATTATGGGAAGCCCTAAACGTGAACCAGTTCAAACTGGGTGCCAGTCCAGGATATTTTCTGAGCTCTGCTTTTGAAAATATTGTCCAGCCCTAACCAGTGTCACTCAGTTGGTTGGCCATCATCCCACAAAAATCGAAAGGTCCCCGGTTCAGTTCCTGGTTAGAGCACATGCCTGGGTTGTGGGTTTGGTACCTGGTCAGGGTGCATATGAGAGGCAACCAGTTGATGTTTCTCTCTCACATTGATGTTTCTCTCCCTCTCTTTCTCCCTTACTTCCCCTTTCTCTAAAAATAATAATAAAATAAATAAAATCTTTTTTAAAAAAAGAAAGGAAAATATTGTTCCATCACTTAGATAGCCTCTAAAAGAGGGATCAGCAAATATTTTCTGTTAAAGGCCAGGCAGTAAATGTTTTTGACTTTGCAACCTGGGTGTCTGTCACAGCTATTGATTTCAGCCACCGCAGCATGAAAGCAGCCATAGACAATACATAAAAGAATGCCCCTCACTGTGTTCCAGTAAAACTTTATTTAACCAGCAGAGGAAGGGCCATAGTTTGCCAGCTCTTGATCTAGACCAGCACTGTTCAGTTGCAATATAATGCAAGCCACGTGCCATTTTAAATTTTCTAATAGCTACATTTAAAAAGTACAGAGAAACAGATGAGTTCAATTTTAATAATATATTTTATTTAACCCAATATGTCCAAAATGTTACCGTTTTTAACATAAAGTCAATGTAAAATTTATTGAGCTATTTTACAGTCCACTTTACATTCTAAGACTTAGGAAGCCCATATGTTATACTTACAGCCCATCTGAATTTGAAATAGTCACATTTCAAGAGCTCATGGCCACGTGTGCTCATGGCTGCCATATTGGACAGCACAGCTCTGGTGGGGAGACCAAATTACAAGGAGACAGTCACACACCAACAACGCACTGTTATATACTGATAAGCACCGTGAATGGAAAGCAGAGGGTGCTGCAGACCGGGAAAGGGGAACAATAAAGGCATCTTCCGGCACTTGCTCCCGCTTCTGCCCAGAGTTCCTTTTTGGAAACCCATGGAACATTCTAATGCCTTTCCCCAAACCCCAGCCACCCTGTGGTGCTCAGCATGGGTGACTGTAAAATGAAGCACTCAGGCTTTCTGCTGACTGCTCTTTGACAATTCTCCATCCAGGGCTCAGGAGATGAATAGCTTTCATTTCTCATGGCTTTTCTTGGGCTCCAGGTGGGCAGCACAGCAGCCGTTGATCTGGTGCAGCCATCGATGACATCTCAAGATAGCAGCACCCCCGTGGGGTCCGAGTGGCTGTGCTTGATGGCTGGGAGGGTTTTTCTATCCTGGAGAAAGAGGCCAGTGTCTGGATTCAGAACAGTAATTGGAACCTCCAGACCTGGTGTGAGTCTTGCTCTACTATTTACTAACTGGGTGATCTCAGGCAAGTCATTTAACCTCACTGAGCGTTGGTTTTCTCGTCTGTACAACGGGGTAGTGGCAGCAGCTCCCTCCAGTGATTAGTGTATCTGTGCAAGAGGTGACTGTGAGCAGTAAGAGCATCTGGCACATAGTAAGCTCTGAATATTACATTTATTGTTTTTAGACTTAACCTATCAGGGATGCCCCCCAACCTGAATTGCCTGCCCCCTCCTCGTATGACTCTGGAGGGCCCAGTGTCTGCGTCACGTCCCCCCACATGTGGCTCCTCTTGGGCGGAGCTATGTCTCCCACTTAGCTGTGAGTCCCAAAAGCAGGAATTGTGCCTCACCCATGTCAGAAAGAAGAAAAATCTGCCCACACTTGATGAGTTTCCCTTTTCCTAGATTCTAGAACATTCTTTATGTCTGCCACCATCTTCCCCTTCTTGCAGAGACAGGTCCTGATGTTCTGCCCACCAAACTGGGTCAGGCTCCCCCACTGACACACTCCCGAGACCCCTTTGAAGCATTTAGCTCTTGTAATTAATGAGTTATCTGGGGAATGTGCTTTCATGTCAGTCTCCTCAGTGGGAGTCCCCTCAGGGTGGAGCCTGAGGCCACACCCTCGTCTCTAAGCTCTCAACCCACGTGGTGCTGTGGCACAGAGCAGGCTCTCAGGAAATGTCTGTTGAATGAATGGGAGACTCTCATTCACTCTGGAAGGCAAAGGATCAGAGGCTGTTCTTGGAATAACCAGAAAACGAAAGGAGCTTTTGTAACTGACCTTTTTAAAGTCACTTGCTAAACATCCACCTCTCTGCCCCTCTTAAATAATGAGTTTAATATAAGCCTCATAAGACCTTCAACCTGTGCTGTACAGTAGAAATGCCGTGTGATCCACAAATATATTTTTAAATTTTGTAGTACCTACATTTTTTTTAAAAAGTAAAAGAAAACAGGTGACATGAATAATAATAATAATAGATTTTATTTAACCAACAATATCCAAATGTTATCACTCGAACATATAATCAATATAAAAAATGTCAATGAGCTGTTGTAAATTCTGTCTCTACATGTTGTCTTTAAAATCCAGTGTGTATTTTGTGCTCACAACACACCTGGCTTTGGACTCATCATGTTTCAGATGCTCAGTAGCCACATGAGACTGACGGCTGCCGTGTTGGAAGCCTTAGAGGAACCACTATGGTTTTTGAATTATTCTTCCCAGAGTGCACTGCTGCATGCAGGCACTCTCTGTAGGAGACCACAGCTGAGCACAGCTGAGGCTTATCACCCAGCACTCGGCAGAACCTGTCCCCATACCAAGAGGTGACACATCTATGGGGCTTAATGCATGCCAGGAATTTTGCACAGGACTTTACCTGTGTTACATCATTTGATCCTTTCACAAGCCTTTGAAGGAGGTTGTCATATTATCCCCATTTTATAGCTGAAGAAGTAGAGGCACAGGGTTTAAGTGACCTACCAGCCAAAGGACACACAGACAATAAGTGGTGGAGCTAGGATTCGAACCCAGGTGGCCTGTCTTCAGGGCTTGTGCCTGAGGTTGGCCCCCTCTGTGAATGGATTGCCTCATCAGAATTGGCCCTTGTCACTTCTCCAGGATGGTGTCACACAGGACCTAGAGTTGGCGCTGCAGTTTATGTTGAGCACCTTCTGTACACTCAACAATGTGCTCCCAGAACTTGCTTCCAGGGGAGGGACTCAGTAATAAACACCCTCTTCATTGGCGTTGTTGGGATTCATAAGGAAAGCACAACTCTGCAAGAGGGTGATTGACAAGGAGATGCTCCAATAGAGTCATCGTTTAGGAAGATGGCACCAAACAGAAATGTCTTTTGGTACCTAGAAGAATGAAGCCATTCCAGTCCAAAGAGAGATACCCACCCCAGAATGTCCTCGAGGAGGGAAGTGATTGTGGCCTATGGGTGCCAGGAGCTCATGTTCTGGGAAGGCCCAGGACTAAGCCAAAGGGCCTGGCCACCAAGCACGAGCATCCAGGCAGCTGTGCAGCCAGAGCTTGGAGTTCAGAGCCTGGCCGTGGCTCACCTGAACACGTCTTTCAGGGTTTCGCTGGCGGAACAAGAAAAGCCTGTGAGCAGGAGAATGAGTGCGTGAATGTGGGTCTTCACCTCTTAGTTACTTAATCACCCGTACATTCATCAGACAGGAAGCATTTACCGAGCGCCTCTGGTTTACCAGGAACCATTTCATACAACTCTCATCCTCGACATTTGTTGAGGCTGTTTGATATCTTACTAGAGATTTAATGATTTGTCTTTAATTTTTAGTGGCAAGAAGTATTCCCCAGATGTATCTCCTTTTTCCCCAAAGCATATGCCATGTTGAAACCTACAGAGTGGCCTTTTATAACAAGGATAATAGTAATAGTAACTTAATAACCGACTCTGTGCCCTACGCCAACTGCCTATATGCATCTTCATTTATTCCTCACAACAGGCCTAGGAAGTAAGTTCTATTATCTACTGCCAGGTTACAGATGAGGAAACTGAGGATCAGAGAGGGACAGTGACTTGCCCAAGGTCACAGAGCTAGAATGTAGTAGAAGAGCTAAAATGTGAACCTGAACTTTCTGACACCATACTTTTAACCTTCGTTTCCCCTCCCCCATCTCATGTTTGCACAAGAATAAAATGATCAAATTTGCTTGTAGACTCAGCTACCATGGTAACGTGTGACTTTTTTCTTTTGTTTCCAAAGGTGGTAGCCCTTAGTAAAAGAAGTCAGGAAGCTGAAGCTGCTTTCTTGAGTGTTTACAAGCAATTAATTGAAGCACCAGGTAAGAAATGCTTGGGCCTCCATAAGTGAGTAAATAATGACAAAAAACGGCCATTAGGCCTATTACACAGGGGCATCCTCATGGTGGAATCTGGAGAGAGGCTGAGACTCCTGGGCAGGGCCATGCCCTCCGTGCGTGGGGGCCATGGGGGTCACGGCCTCTCTACCCAGTCTGGTGTGACATCCCCACACAGCTCCTCCGTCTTCCCCCTGTACCTTCCGATGTCAGCCAGGAACTTAGGAGGGCTCCTGGCGAGGCCGACCATCTGGACTTTCTTGGGAAGCCAAGGAGTCTGTCTGGCCCGCCAGAGGACAAACGGTGCCCAAGTGTTTTCTGCCAGCAGAGGGCGCTGGAGGGAAGACCTCAAAAGTTTCCACTGACGTGGTTCCGGCAGCCTCAAAAATTTGATGTAGAACAAAAATGAAATCCAAAAGAAGCACATACTATGTGACTTTATTTACATAAAATATGAAGACAGGCAAAAGTTAACCTGTCAGCACTAGTCACAGTGGCCAAAAGGGGGAAACAACCCAAACATCCATCAATAAATGAACAGATAAGCAAACTGTAGTCTGTCCAGTCAATGGAATATGATTCAGTCATAAAAAGGAATGAAACACTGACACCTGCTACAAAACAGATGAGCCTCAAAAACATTGTGCCAAATGAAAGAAGCCAGACACAAAAGGCCACAAAGCATACGGTTCCATTTACATAAAGTGTCCAAAATAGGCAAATCTATAGAGACAGTAATCACTTTGGTGGTTGCCAGGGGCTGGGGGGAGGCGGGAATGGGGAGTGAGTGTCTCATGGGCACAGCATGTCCTTTTGAGGGGATAAATGTCCTGAGGCTCGATAGAAGTGGTAGTTGCACAACATCATGAATGTACTACCTGCCACTCAACTGTACACTTTAAAATGGTAGCTTTTATGTTATAGGAATTTTGCCTCAATTAAAAAAACATTAACCTGCGTTGCTAGACATTGATTGGCCACAGTTCCTGGGAGAGGCCTCCGGGAGCTGTAGATGGTTCCTTAACGCACTTCTATATGTCTATGAAAAGTTTGCCTCTTTAAAAATGGCCTACCCTTTGCCACCGTCTCATTTATTGACTCAGAAAAGGGCGCCTAGAACAGTGCAGCGATTTGCTTAAGGATAGTGGAGCTGGGAGGAGCACCGCCCCCCCCCACCCAGACAGCACCCTAGTCCTCTCCCATGTTCTCCTATGCAGCTGCAGGGGTCGACTGGGGCCAAGGGTTTATAAAGAGGAAAGTGTATTTGAAATAGAAGCTGTTTGTGGGACCTTTGTATTGAGGATGTAAAGTTCCTTGTTTCATCTGTCTTGGGTAACTTGAGAAGGTTGAATAGTGTCCTCCCAAAACCTATGTCCACCCTGAACCTCAGACTGTCACCTTATTTGGAAACAGGGTCTTTGCAGACGGGATTAGTGAAGGATCTTGAGATGAGATCATCCTGGATTTAGGGCTGGTTTGTGGCCACGTTGCTTCAATATCTGCCTGTCTTCACCTGGCCGCCTTCTCTCTCGTCTCTGTGTCCCAAACCGCCCTCTCCTTTCTCTGATAAGGACTTAGGGTCACTGGATTTAGGGCCCACCCAGATAGTCTCGGATGACCTCATCTCAAGATGTTTAACTTGATTACATTTGCGAAGACCCTTTTTCCAAATGAGGTCGCATTCACAGGGCTGATGGATTAGGACCTGGCATATGTTTGGGGGCCACCGGTCAGACCTCTACAGAGGCCTCTGCAGCCTTGGTTCCCCCTGCCCAGCCCCGTGCTCTGTCCTGACCCTGTGCTCTCGGGCAGGCAGCATGGCCGCGTGGCTTTTCTCAATGAGAGTGCTTTGGCGGTGCAAATGGCTGGAGCGCCCCTCAGGGCCCTATGCGTCCCCCACCACCCCCAACCCATGGTGTGCCCTGTAGCGTGAGGCCGAACCGGCCATGTGCCTGTGGACCAGTTAGGACACTGAGAAACACACCAGGCTCATATCCAAGAGGCCCTATTCCTTGCAGCCTTTTTTATTTCTAATCTTTCCACCCTCATCAGAGTTATTTGGAAAATTTTTGGAAAAATATACCCTTATTTCCCACCCTTTTCAGTCTTTCAAAACCTTCAGTCTCAGCAACAAATGACATTGGAGGGTGACTCAGTTACAGACCCCAAACTTGCTGCCCAGGAGTCCTCACGCCTGGCTCCTTCCCTGGACATCGTAGTACCTGACCTTTAGCACCAGGGGGCAGCACTGATACAGGCTTGTGTTTTCCAGGCTCAGGGCCAGACCCTGGTTGGAATCCTGCCTGTGCCACTTACTTCACTGGGTAACTGAAGATGAATTAATTCACTTCCCTGAGTTTTGGTCTCTTCTATAAATGGGGAATAATATGAGGACCTGCCTGATACGGTTTTGGGAGGCTTCACTGTGCCTGGCACATAGAGATACTTGGCTAAGTGTCAGCTGCTCTCGTGATCATATATGTATCTGGCTTCCCTGGGAGAAGTAAAATTCTCCAAGCTGGGGACTGAATTGTACTAAATTTGTGTACCCAGAACCCTGTACACAGCAGACACCTAATAACTCTGAGGTGAATGAATTAGAAATAAGACTCTGATGCAGAAAGGGGAGGAAGGCTTATTTGAACAGAAAGGTACTTTTTCCACTAAGGCCCTCTGCTTGTCACATGTTTATGTGCTCAGATAGCATTGACTGGGAGCCTGCTGTGTGCCTGGCACTTGCTAAACGCTGGAACATGACGTGAACCTGCCGATGCAGACAAGGGCCCAGCCCTCAGGGAGCTTGCATTCTGGTGGCAGAGGCAGCCAGGTCGTCGCTTGCATAACCAACCTGTTGGCACAAACCCACGGGAATGCCAGTGGTTCTAGTGCTTGGGGGTGTGGAGGGGGTTCCAACACCTGCTTGGAAAAGAGGCACCGTTTCTGGGGTTCACTAGGGGACCCTCACAGGGCCAGGACTGCAGTGTCAGCCAGGGACCCTGAGAGCTCCCAAGACAGGCGGGAACTTTCCGGAAGGTCCTTGTGCCCTCTTGCCCTCTCCCCAAAGGGCCGTTCCAAGCCCAGTGCTGACTCCACGCATCTGATTTCCCAACTCTCTCCCCAGAGACGGAGGGCAAGGGAAACGTATGTCCCCAGCTGTCACTGAGTTACGAGAACGAGGAGCCTTAACTGATGGAGACGCACCATACGAACAGCCCCTGTAGGGGCTCTAATTCATTCCGAGACATTTAAGAATAACAAAATGTTTTAATGATTTCTTGGGGGAATTAGGAAGACGTATTTTTGTTCTCATTAAATTTTATCCTCAGACACAAGAACCAAATGTCAGATGTGTTTTTGGTGCTCAGAGCTCCCTGGCTTGCTGTCTTCCCCGCACACACGGCCCCAACCCCCTCCATAAAAATAACACTCCTGGAAAATTTGCCAGGATGCACTCTCCTGTTTTTATATTTCTTGACAGGCAAATTATTTGTCGAAATACTCCCCCCCACCTCTGAAGCCACACAAGTCCTGATTCAACATTTTTGTTTTGAATGACTGCTGCCAACACAAATCTTTGGCAGAGAATGCGATATAGCGTGATTGCTCAGCAAGTATTTTGATAAGTGTGCAGCCTGGATGTCTGTAATTACGAAAGAAAACCGTAAATCTTTTGGATATTGTTCACACAGATGTGGCGTGAAGTGAGAAAAAAAGCAGTAAAACGTGTTAAAAGCATAATTAATGTCATTGTTGTGGAGGATGATTTGATTTAAACCTTTCTGACTTCTGTATCGGTGACGGCTGATTTCTTCATCGTGCGCATGGAGTCACTAGGTACCGATCCAAGCTTCAGAAAGCTGACTTGTTAACTAAGTGATTAGTTAAAAACAAAACAAAGAAAAGAAAAGAAAAGAAAAAACCAAAACGAGCAGAGAGCGAGTAAGAAGGCAGGCTGAGGAACATTGCTGAAGAGATGAGACAAGAGAGGTGAGTGCCCCAAAACGTTTTTTCGGCTTTTTGTTGGTTTTTAAAAAGCTGATGTGGGAGACAGCAGCTCCTGACAGGCATTTCTCTCCCTCCTCCCCATCTCAGGAGGCAGAAGGCCGGTCCACTTAGGTGCTGGGGTCCCGGCGGCAAGCACAGCTGCTGGGCCCGCCAGCTTGGTGTTTTCAAGCTGTGTGACCTTGGGCTGGGCCCTGAACCACTCTGAGCTCCGGTTTCTGTGTTTTTAGCAGAGGGATAATAATACAACCAACTCATAAGTCGACTTGAGGATTTGATAGGCTGAACATGAACGCATTTGGAGGGTTTAGTGATCAGTAGCCCATTGCAAAGCTGACATCAGGGTATAGGTTACAGAGTCATGAGCATTTGCTGTTGCTTTCACAAGGCTCTGTCAGTCATGAAGGGTGTGAAGGGAGCAGTTTAGCCAACAGGGTTACTGAATCTATGGAATGGGAAAATGCTTTATGACAGCGTTTTGAAATTTTTCTCCTCAATTATAAAAGTCACGTATGCGCACTGTCAAATTCAGAAAATACAGAAAGGTGGAAAGGAGGGAAAACTACCTACTAGAAAAGCAGTGGGAATATTTTGTTGTTTTTCTTTCTGATCTTTTCCCCATGTACTATTTCAAAAACAGTCATGTAGTCAACATGTACTATTTTGCATCCTGCTTCTTTTCGCCCAAAACGAGTATCCGTATTTCCCTGTGTCATTGAAAATCCTGGGTAACTTTGGTTCATTGTGTGTAACACTCCTTTGTGCAGCTGTTGTATAACTTGAACACACAAGTTATTGGTACTATGCTGTAGTTCACAGGATAAGGAAGAAAACTCAGGAAGGAAAAAATATTGTAGTCATGTATTAACCACAAGCTCAGGATCAGTGGTCAGAAAGAATACGAATTTTTTCTCTTTGATTTATTTTACACTCATTTATTTGTTACACTAAGTATCTTTTTGTATGCTATGAACCAGTCGTAT